TAAGGGCTACAAAGAGTTTAGCAAATACACGCTCAGTCTCTCAGTCAGCCAACAAATGTTTAGCAAGAATCTAACTGGGCAAACACTGATGGTCAAAAATAGGGATGAGCCTTGCCCTTGAGGTGGTTACAGTCTAGCGGGAGGGACAGGGTTCGATCGGATGGTCATACAGCCACATGGATAATTACAAGCTGACACAGGTACTGTACAGGAAAGGAGCAAGGTATTCTGAGAAGGTACTCCCAGACGACCTGAGCTAAACTGGGAATCATGAACAGCTCATTTGAAGAAGTAATATCTGAGCCAAGAGCTAGAGGATGAAGAGAAGGGAGAACTACATGTGCAAAGGCCCTGTGGTAGGAGAGAGAGCATGGATCATTAGAAGAAGAAGAAAAGAAGAGGAAGAAGAAGAAGAAGAGGAAGAAGAAGAAGAAGAAGAAGAAGAAGAAGAAGAAGAAGAAGAAGAAGAAGAAGAAGAAGAAGAAGAAGAAGAAGAAGGCCACTGAGGCTGGAGAGCAAGAGGAAGTGGAGAGTGCGAGTTAAAGAGTTAAAGCTGAAGAGACTGGCAGAGTGAGATGACAAAGTGACTTGTAGACAGTATAAAGAATACGGCCCTTATTTTACCAAGAGAGGGAAAGTGGGAAGCCATTGAAGGATTCAAGCAGCAGGTGGGTCATGATCACACTGGTGTTCGGAAATGGCCGCTCTGGCTGCCGCGTGGAGAACTGTTTAGGGAATGGGATATAGACCCATTGCCAACCAGCCATTTATTTTGGAGTCCAGGGGAGAGAAGATGATAGCTGGGATCAGACGGCCGTTGCTGGTGATGACGGAAATGGAAAGAGGTGAGCGGATGAGAGGAGTGTTAGTGAAAAAACCCTGGAGGATCTGGTGATAGATTGGACATGGGTTGGCGAGAAAGAGGGAGACACCAACCCATTCTTTCCAGAGTTAAGTGGTGGTTCTGTTCACTGAGTTCGGGTGCACTGCATGGAGGTGAAACCAGAGAGAGAAGACGGTGATTCTAGTCTCAGATATAGAATACGCTACAAAAATTGGGGGTGGGGCAGTGCAAAATGAAAATGTGAGGCCTCCTGCTCCACAATTACTGAGAACCTCAAGACAGGGGCAGCAGAGAAAGGGCAGGACTCTTCTAGTGTGGGACCCTGTGGGACTGGCGGAGTCGCTCACCTACAAAGCCGGCCCTTGCTCGAGATGCCGGGTTTGAGGTGCCAGCCATGCAGAGAGACTTGAGTAAAACTCAGTCCCATCAAAGGGACAGTTCTGGAGCTGAGAGAATCCACCTGTGCCCCACTCTCCGGAGCCCACTGGTTCCCCTAGGGGACCATGCAGACGGAATAGAACCAGCTCTCTCTGCTATATACCCTGGGCGGCCAGGTCTCCGACACCTGGCAGCCTGGTCCCTGATAAGCCAGCTTCTCAAATGAGAAGTACCAGACCACAGTGCTCATCCTCTAAGGAAAATCCAAACTGCTTGCTTGGTGCTGCAGTTGCACAAAGGGGAATTCCACGCTGGCCGATCCCCTTCCGCCGCTGACTGTGGTTTGCAATGTCTGCGGGCCACGGTCCTCGGGAGGGCACCCGATGCAGTTTGCATAACCCCGGCTCGAGTGAACCTAAGGACCAGCCCCACCTCCCGCTCCTCCTCAGCCTCTGACCCACCAGGCCTTTATTCTGGAGCACCCCAGTCGCAAGGCCAATGTCAAGAGACCCCAGACAAGGACAGTGCCCACAGACCCCCGTCCCCTCGGACCCCCACCCGGCCATGCTTTGGGTGTGTGCTGCACGTGGCTCTATTGCAGCACAGCACTGAGGAAGCCTCTGTCCAGGGAGCTGGGGAGGGTTATTCAAGGGAATGCTAGAAATTTCAAGCTGGGGAAGCTACTTTGCACACTAGATGTCCTAGATAAGAAGAAATGAAACTCCCGCTATCAGCCTCAAAACAATTGCTACGAATGGCAAGTGGGAGCCAAGCCCCATGGGGATTCTTCACCAGGATAGTTGCCAAGCTTTCGCCACCTTCCCTGCCTGTGTCACCGACCTGCCCGCTCCCTCCCGCCAGACCCGATTGCCAGGCAGGCTGGCTGGACCCGAGTCGTGGAAGCCCAGATTTCTGAGCCTTCCCTTGCAGCTCCAGAGCAGCCCCCAGGACTCCCAGCCCATCCCCACGCTTGGGTCCAAGCTGCTAAGTGGCAGCAAGGCACAGGGCCGCTCTGCCAAGGAGGCTGCCATCTTGCCGAGCGCAAGAGTGGCTGGGAGGTGGATTTCTTACAAGATCTTGTACACTGTAGCTAGGACCCTCAGCTCTCTCCGTGTGCATGCACACCCACGCCTCTCCCCGCACGCCGGGAGATCTTGTCTCTGCAGCTGAAGTGATGAAACTTACTGGGTGAAACTTTCCTTAAAGATTATTAGGATCTCCTGACCCAGGGTGCCTTCAGGCCTTTGGACTTTACCACCTCCCTTCTCTCTGATGCCTGGCAATGAAGTCCAAGAGAACAGGACGGCAGAAAAAGCAGGTCCCAGAGGACATATGAGATTTCATATCAGCCCTGCAACTGCCTGCCTCTGGACTTCTTGTCGGGTGAGACAAAATATATGTGTATATATACATAATCCCCCCCTACTTTTTTTTTTTTTGAGACAGAGTCTCGCTTTGTCGCCCAGGCTAGAGTGAGTGCCGTGGCGTCAGTCTAGCTCACAGCAACCTCAAACTCCTGGGCTCAAGCGATCCTCCTGCCTCAGCCTCCCGAGTAGCTGTATAATCCCCCTTTTTAAGAGATATGTTTAGTCAGGTTTTTTTTTTTCTATTTATAGCTGAATATAGAAATTAGGGAATATTTTGGAGCAGGGGCAAAGGAGGAGAGGTATTTCCCCTCCCAAAACCATCCTCTGACTTCCCAGTGAAAAGTAATTTGAATTCAATTTAATAAGCATTTATTAGATGCCTGCTATGCATTTGGACTTGAGGGCAAACTGGACTCAGGCCATTTGCCCCCAAGAAGCTGAGAGTCTCATGAGGGGCATCTGTGTCCTCTTGAAATTCACACGACACCCCACCCATTCATAGGAGCTGGCTTCCTCACTTCCTTCCCTGCACGGGCTCTTCCCTTGCACCGAAACCCAAACTCAAATCTACTAACATGTGACGTCTGGCATTTATGTCTCAGATGTGGCCTGTCGGTTTGGGACTTTTCCCAGTGGAACTTAATGAGTTTTCAGGTGAACAAATGTCCTTCAGACCTTGAGACATGGGAGCCTTCTTTGTTGTTCTTGTTGTTTTGTCAGTCTGAGGGCACAGGCTCTTCACCTCGCCCAAATGTTCAGATGTGCCCCTTGACGTCAATACTACTCAATATGTTGATAGACATGATCTCCAAGCCAGGACTTGTGTCAAGGAACTTGTGTATGGTTCTCTCTGACTATTTAGATTCTGAAATTTTGACATTAGAGTGGACAGTGATTTCAAATCAATGGGGAAAGGGTCAACTATTCCACAAATGGCTTGAGAAAAAATTGGCTATACATGTCAAAACAAAGAAGTCAGATCCTGATTCTAACCTTAACTCTATTTAATGGGTTATGGAATAGAGAATGACATAATAGCTTCTACAGGCCTCCCTTCTTCCTGCCACTGTATGTATATTTACATACGTATATCAAATTATAAGAAGAAAATGTAAGCGATGCTGCCTGCTTCCCTAAGTTACTCTCTCTCTCCTTCTTTTTTTTTTGAGGCAGAGTCTCACTCTGTTGCCCAGGCTAGAGTGAGTGCCGTGGCATCAGCCTAGCTCACAGCAACCTCCAACTCCAGGGCTCAAGCGATCCTCCTGCCTCAGCCTCCTGAGTAGCTGGGACTACAGGCATGCGCCACCATGTCTGGCTAATTTTTTCTATGTATATTAGTTGGCCAATTAATTTCTTTCTGTTTTTAGTAGAGATGGGATCTCACTCTTGCTCAGGCTGGTTTCGAACTCCTGACCTCGAGCAATCTGCCCGCCTGGGCCTCCCAGAGTGCTAGGATTACAGGTGTGAGCCACCACGCCCAGCCCTCTCTCTCCTTCTGAGTGTTTACCTGTGCCCAGACCAGCCTCCTTAGTGTGGCCCCTCCAGGCTCACATGGCACTCCGCTGTGCCCATCCCAATATAGCTGGCACCTTCCCTGGGCGGGACTCAGTGCTAGGTACCAGGGACAGAAAGATTAGTAGAGCCCATGGCTCCCTAGGCAAGACAAGGTGTGTACATGGATGGCAGCAAGGTAGGGCTGTAGATTTCCTAGTGAGGCAAGCATAGGGCAGGGTGGGACACAAAGACAGGAGAGGTTCATGCTGCCTGGGTCAGGAAGGACCTCACAGCCTCATGTGGGGTTCAGACACCCCGGCTGCCTGGTCTGCCATGCTGAGTCTACACCTGGAACACCCCACTCAGACAGGGGGTCAGCCCAGAGGACTAAAATAGTCACAGCCAACAAAACCCCAAGAGCCAAGAAGCCAGGAGAAGGGTAAAAGGAATAAGGAAACTCAGTTCCTGGTCCCTTTCTCTCTGCTTCCTGGTGGCAGAACTCAGAAAAATACTCCTGAGCCCAGCATACATCTGGTAGGAAGGCCAAGCGTGGTGACTCGTGCTTGTAATCCCAGCACTTTGGGAGGCTGAGGTGGGAGGATCACTTGAGGCCAGGAGTTTGAGACCAGCCTGAGCAATATAGTGAAACCCCATCTCTACTAAAAATAGAAAAATTAGCCAGGCATGGTGGCATGTGCCTATAGTCCCAGCTACTTGGGAAGCTGAGGCAGGAGGATCGCCTGAGCCCAGGAGGTTGAAGTTGCAGCGAGCTATGATGATGCTGCTGCACTCTAGCCTGGGTGACAGAGTGAGACCCTGTCTCAAAACATAAATAAATAAAAAATTTAAAGATTTAAATTTTTTTTAAAAATGTGTTTGAAATCTGTCAGGCGCAGAAATTCCTGAGTTAGCTCCCTTCCAGTTTCTAGAAAGCTCTTTCTCCCTTCATGATTCTTAGCTTTCTGCATTGACACTCCCCAAAGGGCTGGGAGGAGAGGCCACGGTCCCCTGATCCTGACCCACAAGTCACCGAAGCAGAGACATCACCCTTCCCTCCCACTCACTCCAGACTGGCTGGGCTCTGGGGCATTTGCCCCACCTGCCCCGGCTCGGTGACCTTCTCTACTGGGACAGGCTTGGGACCCGGTGCCATCGGCAATGTCCCAGTGCTGATGCTGGAAGGTGAGGAAGTAGCAGAAATATTGGGGCTGCCCTCTACCTGGGTCCACTTGTCACTTAAACCCAAAGCCCCCCGGCAAGGAGGAGGGCAGGTGCTGCTGCCCCCTCGGACAGATGGAGCACAGACACAGGGAGGGTGAGTGACTCGCCCTGGGTACAGAGGGACAGTGCTCCTCCCAGGTACTGTCTGGACTGGGGCAGTGGGAGGAGCCCCTGAGGAAGGGGGAGGCTGAAGCACAATCAAAGGACCCCAGAGACTTTCTAGATGCCTGAAGAAGTCCTGACATCACTGCCCTCATGCTCCCCCAACCAAAGGTATGGCAACACTCCTCATCCCAGCCACACCTGGCCACCTTGCACAGACACACACACACACACACACACACGTGCAAATCCACAACAGGACTACGGAGGCCGCGTTGGGAAAGGGGAGCAGGGATGGGTAAGAGGAAAGAAAGGGACCTGCTGTCCAGCCCTAGTGGAATCCTGACTTATGCTCCTTGATATTTCTACTTGTGCCTCCCCACCTTTTAGACTTTAGACTCCAGCTACAGAAGCTTATAACTAAAAGAACCCCAAGGACTATTCATTCCATCTTTCAATCCACACACTCCGGACAGTGCAGAGTAGGGTAAGGGAACCAAACTGGCACCCAGGCAGCCTTGTGCGGGTTCCTGGACATCTCCGAGCCTCAGTGTGCCCGCTATAAAGTGGAGGTGATGAGGGTCACAGTAAGGACGCCCTTCCTAGCCTGTGACAAGCTTTCGGAAGGTGTGGATGATTCCTACTAACTTACCCCAAGTTCTGGGACGTGGGCAAGTCTCTGGTTTCTCAGCAAAACCAGAGAAGGAACCTGGAGCACAGCCCAGAACCCTGCCTGTCTCCTAGGAAGCCAGTCTCATCAAGGGTCAGCCTTTGAGCATAAAATGTGAGAACCATAAGTAGAGGGGAGTTTTGAAGATATTTAGCCCACCCCCTCATTTTTACTTGGGGAAACTGAGGCCCAGAGAACTAAGGTGACTTCCTAAGTTAGCAGGGAGAAGTCTTAGGTATCCAACCCAGGTTGGGGGGATCCCAATTATTTCTCAATCCCAGTGTATTCTGGAATGGCCAGTTTGTCCACGTCACTGTGACCTAGGAATACGTGAATGGAACCCACAGCTGTAGGCCTCCACGCACAGAACAGCTGTTCTCCCCAGGAAATCACTTTTTTTTTTATTGAGAGGCTTAAATTAATTTTAGAAAAAAGAGAGGTGCCGTGTGCTAAAAATAGCCTAATGCAGAGTTCATCTTCTAGTCCTTTTGCTTACAATGCAAAAATTAAAAACTTTAGATTCAACAAATGAAAATTGGACGTCTAAGGAAGGGAGGAGGAGCTTTGATCAGAAAAAACCTTTTCCAGGAAATCTGTTAACTCTGTGGCTTTTTATGAATGGAGCCCACAATATAAAAGGGGGCAGAGAAGGTGAAGGTCTATACTTCAGGGGCTTGCTCTTGCAAAACCAAACCACAGGACAGACTTGCAGAAGAAGGCAGAGTGCCGCCATGCCCAGCTCAGCACTGCTATGTTGCCTGGTCTTCTTGGCTGGGGTGGGGGCCAGCCGAGGCCAGAGTACCCAGTCTGAGAACAGCTGCACCCACTTCCCAGCCAGCCTGCCTCACATGCTCCGGGAGCTCCGAGCTGCCTTCGGCAGGGTGAAGACTTTCTTTGTGAGTATGATTCCCTCCTCTGCTTTCTCTCCTCCTGGGACTGCCTGAACCTAGCCTCCTGCTGGAGCTATAGGAAGAACCCTCCCCCTGCTCCTCCACCTCCATCTCCAGCACCCATTCCCCCCACATTTTGATTCTTAAGAGAGTCCTAGATTAAGCTATATGGGTCCAGTGAGTTAAGCTAAGCCCAGATGATGGGGCATAGATGCAGGAAAAGCTGTCTAAAAAGGTAAATGCCACTCCCTGCTATGCTCAGGGACTTCCTACAAGATTCCACTGGAGTTCTATACTTAATCGGCTTAGAGAAATCAAGAAGGGTCTGATCGGAGGTGAAGATGTCCTCTACATGCTGTGGCAGGGAAGCAAACACTGCCTCTGCTTAGAGAGTTTCCAGACCCGAAAGACCGGTGGCTCGGGGAAGCCCCGTACCTGGGGAACCTGCGTCAGGGGAGGCTTCCCATCCCCAGACGTTTTCCAGGGTGGAGCTGGGTGTCCACAGTATGGAGAAAGAAGAGCAAAGAGCAGGCCGTGAGAGGGGGTATCAAAGGCACTGCAGGGTTGACATAGGTGTCCCTTAGGACCCGAAGTAACTCTGCAGAAAGACCAGCACTGAGTCAAGCTTTTTGCCTTTGCTTCAAAGTGGGCCAGATTTTTAAAATAACTTGATTCCAACGGGGAGGAAGTGATTTCACTAACGGTTCCGATACCGTCAAATCCTCTGTTTGTAAAACTCTCCTACATTGATGAAAAATGAAAAAAATTCTAGAAATAAAAGTGCATCAGAAGAACATGCATTTTAGGTGTTTTCCCCAACCTCAAGTTCATTCGCCTTTCGTTCTTCTCGCAGCAAACGAAGGATCAGCTGGACAGCATGTTGCTGAACGAGTCCTTGCTGGAGGACTTTAAGGTGAGAGCAGGGCTGGGTGGGTGGGCGGAGTGGACAGTGCGATTAAGGGAAGGGAGGCTCTGCTTCCTCACTGCAGGGAGCTGGGGCTGCTTCCTTCACTTTGAAAAGGAGAAGTGGGAAGGTCTTAACTCAGCACATAGCCAGCCGCCAGGGCTATAAGGGGCTCAGGGCTGGGGGAGGCAGCCGGTGAAGGAGGGTCCCAGGGCACAAAGTTGTCCTCTCCAGCTAGTTGTGGCAGCCCTTCCTCCCAGTCACCACCAACCCCCCCCCCCTTGGCTCCTGCCCTTAGGGTTACCTGGGTTGCCAAGCCTTGTCTGAGATGATCCAGTTCTACCTGGAGGAGGTGATGCCGCAGGCTGAGAACCACGGCCCGGACATCAAAGAGCACGTGAACTCCCTGGGGGAGAAGCTGAAAACGCTGAGGCTGCGGCTGCGGCGCTGTGTGAGTAGCCGGCCGCTCCTTGTCTTTGCGGCTGTCCCCAAAATGCCATCTCCTACAGGCCAGCTCACGTCCAAAGCCACCCCAAAGACACAGACTGGCAGGACTAGCTGAGAATTTAGAAAGGTGCCCAGAGTGAGCTCTCGCTCGCTGCTCTCTGAGCAGGGGTGGGGGTGGCTGCCAGGCATTTACATGTGAAGATTTGCAAACAGCTTTCCTGTTATTTGTGAGTCATTTGTGGCTTATTAACTACTCCCCCCTCTCTCTCTTCGTGAAAGGGACCCAGAGCTTCAGCCAGGGCTCCCTCGTCCCTTTGGACCGAGCCCCCGGGCTGGGAGCTGAGACTTCCAAGCAGAGGAGACATCCCTCACCTCTTATTTTCCACCTTGGGGGTACCCAACCTTGTCTGACAGGGTTTCCCCTGGTGTTTTACAAGGGCCAGCGGGGCTCCTCGTCCCCAAGCTAGTGTCTATGAATAATTGCCCCAGATAATTTATTTCTCCAACTGAAACGATGCCCTCACTACTAATGGTTTCTTTCGTTCCCTTACTGATATACTGGAAAATCAGTTGGTCTCTATTTGCACGACAGGGCTATGCAAAGGGTTTGGTCTCTGTAGCTGTGACTATGTTTCCACTCCCCAGCTGCTTAGAAATGGTCGTTGGTGGCTGCAATGGGACAGGGACAGGAGAGAGAGGCAAACAAGGGCAGGCTGAAGAGTGCCTAGCTCGGCACTCCAGGAGACCCTGTGGAGTCCTAGGGGAGGAAAGCCAACACCTGGGTTGTCATCGGAGCCTTGCAAACATCTGAGTGGCTTCCAGGGAAATGCATCGCATCTCCTGGGCTGTGGTTAAGTGGTTAGTTAAGGGGGTTAGTTTATTCCTCAGAAATAAATGATCTGGGGGAATTATTCATAGTGTAGTGGGTAAGGATGAGGCAGGACTCCGTTCTCCCTATTGGGAGCTATAAGGGGGGACATTTGGGATGAACCTGGTCCCCTCTGCACCCCACCAGCTCGTCCCCCAAGTGCCACGGACATGGGAGCTGGGAGCCAGGGTCATGAACACTTTCTCTTTTCTTCCACAGCACCGATTTCTTCCCTGTGAAAATAAGAGCAAGGCAGTGGAGAAGATGAAGAACGCCTTCAGCAAGGTGAGCTTGGGTGCCAGAAGCCAGAAGCCAGAAGCAGGTGCCAGCAGCCCTCCCCACCCCCCTTCAATTGGAGGGGTGTGGGAACCTGACAAATGGTGTGACCTCCTCAGCCAGTGAGGAGCTGCCACCTCGGTTATATTTATCTTCTGTTAAGTGTCTTTGGGGTTTCTAAATGACTGCTCCCCGCCTTTGCAGGCTTGCGGGTTGAGCTGGCCCACCAGCCTAAGAACACCATGAACCGGGTGCTGGGGAGAGTGACAAAGGAAACAGAAAGTACAGAAAGTAGCTTGTTGGGAATCTAGGCTGAACCCACACGTGCAGGAAGATGACACGTGAATGTGAAGATGCAAACACGCCTGGGGGTTCAGCCTGAGCTCCTCAAAGCTCAGAATGGGCCGCGCGCAGTAGCTCACACCTGTGATCCTAGCGCTCTGGGAGGCCGGGGCGGGAGGATTGCTCAAGGTCAGGAGTTTGAGAACAGCCTGAGCAAGAGTGAGACCCCGTCTCTACTAAAAATAGAAACAAATTGATTGGCCAACTAAAAATACATAGAAAAAAATTAGCCAGGCATGGTGGCGCGTGCCTATAGTCCCAGCTACTCGGAAGGCTGAGGCAGGAGGATCGCTTGAGCCCAGGAGTTTGAGGTTGCTGTGAGCTAGGCTGATGCCACCCACCACACTCTAGCCGGGGCAACAGATTGAGACTTGGTCTCAAAAAAAAAGAAAAAACAAAAAAAACTGCAAAGTGCTTCCTGTAATGTGTCTTCATCAAATTCTGCATAAGCATCATGTGAGCACATGACCTTTAAAATTCTTGAAAAGGCAGCATTTTGAAGACTGTGCTTTGCAAAGTGAATGCTCCCCTTTCTACCGGATAGCCACGCTCAGGCGGGGAGGAGATAAAAGGTCCATGCACTGCCCCTCCCAAGGCAGCAGCTGGGCATGTCCTCGGGTCCATCTCCTGACATCAGGGAGTCATACCCATCCCAGTGGAGGGGAACCCATTTAGTCCTTAGATGGGGTTTTAACTGTTTCTTATCTCCCTACCCAGCTCCAAGAGAAAGGTGTCTACAAAGCCATGAGTGAGTTTGACATCTTCATCAACTACATAGAATCCTACATGACAATGAAGATGAAAGACTGAAACCTCCAGCATGGCAACTCTTTAGACTCGAGGACATAAATTGGAGATCTCCAAAATCTCAGCCCATGCTCTTGGGACAGCCAGCCTGGTTCCTTGGAACAACCTTGCCGTACCTCTCTCCTAGAATATTTATTACCTCTGATACCTCAACTCCTATTTCTATTTATTTACTGAGCTTCTCTGTGAACTATATAGAAAGAAGCCCGATTTTATAATTTTTTTTTTCAATATTTATTATTTCCACCTGTGTTTAAGCTGTTTCCATAGGGAGACACCCTGTGGTGTGTGAGTGTTTTAGGAGAAATTTTAAGTTATATAAGGTAAAAAAAAAAAAGTGTTCCTTTTGGAGCCAACCGAACCTTCCATTCCAAGCCTGACCACCCTTCATAGCTGTTGGGCTATTTTCCCTGACCTCCCTCTAATTTCTCTTGTCTCTGGGCCTGGGGCTCCTGGGATGTTATAGACTCTGACCCTCTTAGGAAGAGAAACCAGGGAGCCTTTTTGATGATTAACCCTCCAGTGGCTGAGAGGGATTCACCTGACCCCCCCCCCACTGACCCCAACCACTTCAGTCTTGAAAGCTGTGGTCAGCTTATTATTTATAACAACTTAAAGTCGGTTCTAATAGAACTCAGTTTTAACTAGAAATTACTCGATTCCTCTGGGAATGTTACGTTGTCTGTCTTCATAGCAGATTTTAATTTTGAATAAATAAATGGATCTTGTTCAAAGCATGTGGCGGTGTCCATTGACTCCTTTCTGACTAAAATTGTTGCCTCAAAGCTTCCAAGATGAATGAGAATGAGTGAATGAGTTGTGCAGGCCAGAGAAAGGAAGCCAGCTACCTTCTCCCTGGAGACGGGGGAGACTCCAAACGAGATCAGGAGAAAAAGCTATTTCTGCTCCAAAAGCCAACAGCAAAAACCACCACTGTCTTCCCATAACTCGAGCCTTTAATGCACCTTTAAGGAGCTATCCCTAAATCCTTAAAGATCATGCTGATTTTCAAGGCTACAGGTCCCCAGCACTAGGAGAAGGTCTCAGTGCACATTTCATAACTGAAAACTCCTACCCAATCCTCTTTGAGCTGGGATCAGAGACAAACAGGGTTGTAGCCAAGAGAGTTGGATATAAGCAAATTAGCCCAATGGATAGGATGCCCAAGGCTCAAGCTGCTGCTCTTCCTGCCCCCTCCCTGAGCCACCAGACAAATGGCTTCTAGCTGCGGTCTGTTGGGAGGGGCGCGGTGGCTGGGGAAGCCCTACTCAGATACTCAAAGCCCCGTGACTTGGAGGAGATGGGGGAAAGGATGGGCTGAGTAAACTGATCCCCCTCCCGCTCTGGCTCTGCCGGGGCAGCCCTGGCCCAGGGCCCGGGTGGGAGCCGGCTGGCTGTGGGCAGTTTTTCAGTAAGACCTGACTCACTTCGGTTAAAGTAACCATAGGAAGGAAGTGGGAAACATCAAAGCTGAAATTCTGAGATGAAAGGTTAGGAGTAAGAATGGAGGCTAGCAGAGGAGGAGGGGAGAGGGACTCACGCTCCACTCTTGAGGTTCTCTGTACTGAACTGGAGAAGTCATGGGTCCCTGGCTAGGGAGGTTTGGGCACAGAGGACTCATGGCCAGGCCAGGCATGCTGACTCAAATTGGAGGGTGGCACCTCACTCAAGGGAAGTGGGCATCTGGAACAAGTAGCAATTCACCTGAAGGAATCCACACTGCTGATAAAATGTTAACAATAACTATAATGTATTAAGCACTTATTTTGAGCTAGTGTACTAGGTATATATATATATATATATATATAATATCAGGTACATATGGTATATATGATATTATTATTTTATATTAGAGGAAAGGACACTCAAATTTTTTTTCAGTATTATCTTTGCTTTATTGTGGTTCAATAATCTAATATTTGGCCGGGCACGGTGGCTCACAGCTGTAATCCTAGCTCTCTGGAAGGCCGAGGCGGACAGATTGCTCAAGATCAGGAGTTTGAAACCAGCCTGAGCAAGAGCAAGACCCCGTCTCTACTATAAATAGAAAGAAATTAATTGGCCAAATAATATATAGAGAAAAAAAATTAGCCGGGCATGGTGGCGCATGCCTGTAGTCCCAGCTACTCAGGAGGCTGAGGCAGGAGGATCGCTTGAGCCCAGGAGTTTGAGGTTGCTGTGGCCCAGGAGTTTGAGGTTGCTGTGAGCTAGGCTGATGCCACGGCACTCACTCTAGCCTGGGCAACAAAGTGAGACTCCGTCTCAAAATAAATAAATAAATAAATAATCTAACATTCTGTAGATTATATTTGAAGTTCAAATTTTTTGAACTTCATTTATTCATATATTCATACCACATTAATCCAGCTCTTTAAACCATGACTTTGATCATAGATTAACCTGAGAGAATACATAGGCTCTGTGCTTCCAATTTACCATCTATGTGTATCACCCTTCCAGTATACCTAATATTTATGTTCATAATACTATGAACATTGACTAAAATCAATTGCCAGCCACTTTGCTAAGTACTTAATATTGTATTAGCTCATCAATGATCATGTGAAACTATGTGATATTAACAATTAATGAAAATGAGACCCAGAGAAGTTATATAATTCATCTTTGGTCATCCAGCTATTAAATGACAGACCTCATAGGGTCTTAATGATTATTCTATACTGCTATATATCATGTTCTCAAAACACTGTTAGGAGTGGGTGTCACTGTGGGATGTGTTAGCAGCTTAGGCCTGGGGCGATTTAGGGAAAGGCAAACATAACACTCCAAGGAAATAGGATCTGTATCATAAGAGCAAAAACCCAGAATTTAAAATGATGGGAGGATCTTTGAATTTTTATAAGCTGCAGAAACTGGCTACAGAATGAAGCAGACGCCTCTGTATCTCTCAGGGGCTAGAGACATCCAGGTGACATAAGGGTGTCATTATTCAATACCCCTTTTAGGCACTAATTCATTTGGTGACTTCAGAAATTTTATTTAGCCTGCCTGGGACTCAATTTCCTCAATAAAATAAGGAAATGGATCTGAATCAATGGTTTCCAACCCCTGGGGCCACAGGAGTGATGGCATTCATGGCAGGATAGGGGTTGTTTTTGAGCAATTCCCAAAATTTGAGAGGGCCTAATGGAAACTGTGTGTTTGCCACCACTCCTGAATACGTCTGCACGTCTCATTCAAACGCACTTCTCCCTGTCTGGCTGGAGTCCCGGCCACTATGAGTGGCCAAGACAGGGTGCCTCAGGCTCATCAGAAGTTCTATTTGGGCCGGGCACGGAGGCTCACGCCTGTAATCGTAGCACTCTGGGAGGCTGAGGTGGGTGGATTGCTCGAGGTCAGGAGTTAGAAACCAGCCTGAGCAAGAGCGAGACCCCGTCTCTACTATAAATAGAAAGAAATCAATTGGCCAACTAATATATATAGAAAAAATTAGCTGGGCATGGTGGCACATGCCTGTAGTCCCAGCTACTCTGGAGGCTGAGGCAGGAGGATGGCTTGAGCCCGGGAGATTGAAGTTGCTGTGAGCTAGGCTGACGCCACAGCACTCACTCTAGCCTGGGCAACAATGTGAGACTCTGTCTCAAAAAAAAAAAAAAAAAAGAGAGAAGTTCTATTTGGTAGTCACCTATTATATCTTTGATTACGGAAATCAGAAAATAGAATTATCTCTTTAAAACATTTTTAAGCAGACAAAATATTTTAAAATAGAGAGTCTCTGGGGAAAATTAATGGCAACAGTCCTTTGTGGTAAAAACCTTCGAAACCACTAGATTAGGTGACCTCTAAGTCCTGTTCAAGCCCATAGGTCTTAATGCCAGTCTCTGCTTCCTTCCTTTCCACTTGACCCCTCCTCCAGGACTCACTCCTCCAGGGTCTGCACTGGTAACTTTCCAGACAGCTCCCAGCCACCTGTATATCGTCAACAGCTCTCCTCTCCAGCAGGGGTGACCAGCCATAGAGCCTTGAACTTCCAGAAGCCTCCTTGGCACCCCTGCTGGAGGGGGGGGGGGACATGGGGAGATAAAAGACCTAAGGACAAGTGACACAGCTTACCTCTGACTCCACAGCACAGGGCACTGCCTCTGGAGCCTGATGAACCTTGGCTGCAGGATGTCAAGACGTCACCTGCCTCAGTATTCTCCTCCGTAACATGGAAAGAGGAGCCGGGCACGGTGGCTCACGCCTGTGATCCTAGCAATCTGGGAGGCCGAGGTGGGAGGATCGCTCAAGGTCAGGAGTTCGAAACCAGCCTGAGCAAGAGCAAGACCCCGTCTCTACTAAAAATAGAAAGAAATTAATTGGCCAACTAAAAATATAGAGAAAAAATTAGCCGGGCATGGAGAAGGATCACTTGAGCCCAGGAGTTTGAGGTTGCTGAGAGCTAGGCTGACGCCACGGCACTGTAGCCAGGGCAAGAGAGTGAGACTCTGTCTCAAAAAGAAAAGAAAAAGAAAAAACAACAACATGGAAAGAAGAATGATTCCTTCAAGGTGTTGCTGTCATAAAAAATAAAGGCATGAATGCATGTCAAGCTCCTCACACACAGTAAATAATAACAGCAGCTCTGTGCCTTATACATTTGGGACAATGCTCACATCAGACCGGATAGAAGGCTAAGTGCTAACACCTTGACAAACAGCTGGACGTGTGCTGCACCTGCGCCATGCTCTGGACCTGGACTTTTCCTGATAGTGCTTTCCACCTCCTTTCCCACCGTTTCTGCATTGGACGAGAAAAATGATTTGTTCTTGCATTTGGAAGGGAAAAAAAGGAAATAACCTCTTTTTTTCTGTTTGTTTGAGTATTTACTTTCGATTCCCTAAAGTTGGTCTCAGAAATGCTTGGCTTGATAAAGTAAAAACATATATATGAATTACAGCCCTGGAGTTGCACAAATCCAGTGACCCGTTTAACATAGATGCTTGTCATCCACAGCGCTAATAGTTATGGGCGCCGTCAAGTGGAGATTAGATTAGAGCGCTTTGTTTGATTGCAACACTGGGCTTTGTTCATATATGTTCGTTCTCAGTCATTGTTGCTTATCTGCTTAGCAATCTGAAATATGAAAATTCAGCCTATTACTCTGCCTTTTTTTCTTGCCATTATTAGAGGAACAAAAATGTTTTCCAAGGTCACGAAGCCGTTGTATAACAGAGCCCATGGCTTATCCAATATATAGTCCAGAATCTTGTGCCAATTTGAAGTCTTCCTGGGTCACTTAGAGAAGAAAGATGTCATTTCCCCAAACAGACCCTATCATACCCCCTCCACCAGGGCTGAATTAGTAACTTTGGCTACTACTGCAGCATTAAATAACTAATCTAATCTCCTTATATAATAAACTCTATAGTCATGTCTGACAAAGATGAGACCCAAATCAAAACAGAGGCAAACTGGCTTCTCCATGACATTGGCCCCAAATCAGAGTGTTTACAAAGACACACATTTATTCACTCCGAACTTACTATGCTCTAGGTCAGGGGTCCTCAAACTTTTTAAACAGGGGGCCAGTTCACTGTCCCTCAGACCGTTGGAGAGCCGGACTATAGTTTAAGAAAAACTATGAACAAATTCCTA